TTCCCCCCCCACACGGCGCGGGGCGCCCCCCCCCCTGCCACTTCACCCAAGATCCGATGCACAGAAGGGTGATGTGAACCGGTGGTGCGGCAGAACAACACACCCAGACCTGCAGGGTGTTACACTCCCAGTCGGTCACTACCCCCGCAGCGTCTTTCTGCTTGTTAATCCCCAACGCGGCTCCAAGCGCACGGGGATTGGCTTGTGCACGCCTGTACGCTACCGCCACCTCATCTTTCGGCTTCATCCCTGAGGGTGCAAACCGCTTGGCTCAAGACAGTAGGCAGACAGATGATGAGGAGGAGAGAGTCTTTTTTCCCCTCACTACCCCAGACGTTCCCTTTATCCTGGTCAGTGTACTTTTGTTTCTGTACACAGCAATTAAAAATGGGAATCACAAAACCCACTCAATTGCCAGATTCCTCCATTCTTGACTACATGCCCCGCACTGTTTCCCCAGGACAGAGGAGGAGTGTCTCTCTCCAGTCAGACCCCTTTCTGACGGGGTCTCTGGGGGTGGTATCCTCAGACTGACAAAACAACAACTTCCCAGCACCCTTTCTGTTTGCGTGGGGGCAACCGCAGGCTCGACCTAGTCTGAAGCTCCGACAAACACGGTCAGATGGCGGCAGCCCAATTCCCCCATCTGAGAACAGCTATTCCCGTTGTTAGTGCTTTCATACACGTTGTCCAATAACGCTCAACTGAAGGAACAAAGTCTCACACACAGACATGCGATGAAGAGGAAGACACGGTACACTCCCTCCAGGAGTGCTCCCCTTTTTCCTGGCCTCCTCCTACTGTGATGTCCTTCAGGCACCAAAGTGAGAAACACGCAGAATCTCCGTGACTACACAGAGAAGGAAAATCAGCTCTGTCAGAGATCCCAAGAGCCTGGAGTGTGATGTAGCTTACTTTTTATTTAAATTTGTTCTGCCCCAGGGAGGGACGGAGCTATTTGACTGCTGCCCCAGCACCTTCTTGCAGAGGGGACACCTCCACTACTGCTGGTTGGCAGACTGAGTCCATCTTCAGGGCGGCACGAGAGGGGAACCGGATGTCACGGTGGAGCCCACGTGAACAAAGCAACACAAACAGCACAGACCCAGCCGTAGCCTGGAGCCTGCACGAGACTCAGTGCAAAGGAACACCAAGCAGCATAGTTCAGGATAAAGAGAGGGAATTGCACCATTACTGGTCAAATGCTATAAAATATTGAGCAAAGGGTTGGAGGTTACGGTAAATTAAACTTTAAAACCTACAACTCTGCTTACAGAAGTAGAAAGGCAAAGGCATTTTAGAATGCATTAATAGAGGTCTCAAACATCACTGAAGCCTGTGCTAAGGATTAGTGCAACCGTGTTGCTCATGTGAGCAGCTTTGTTCACTCCCTGAAAAAAAAGATAATATAGAGCTGGAGAAGGTTCTGCAAATGACAGCCAGGAAGATACAAAGATTTGGGGGAAAAAAAGGGAGATTACACAGGGACCTCATTAAGATACACACAAATTTTGAAAGAAGTAGGCATGACAGACCTTACAAAGGTTGGAATGTGTGTCAAATGCAACAGGGATAGATACTCACTTGAGCTATAAAATGGGAGAATTGAGACAGATTTTTCATCTCACATATTACAATTTAAATTATGTAGAACATCCAGTCAGAAATACCTAATTATATAATTAAAAAAGAAAAAAACCCACCCCATCTTCTTTGAAAAATCAGTCGTACTAGTTTTCCAGGGAAAGGCTAGATCAGCTGAGGCAGCACTGATTACACTTTCACTTACGTAGATCATACATACACGTAATTTCTTAACGTCTCCCCGTTACCTAGAATAGTAACCACAAAAACAAGCTTACAAGAGTAAGCTCTACGAAATTCTTCACCACCTCGGGTACGCCGAGCGCCACGGGCAGGAGCCAGAAAGCCGCAATGTGTGCGGAGATAATGATCCTGCACTTTGAATGTGGACACTTGCCAACCACCTCCCCACGGTGCTGACGTGCCCTGTCCTTACAAACCTCCCAGTAACGCCAAGAGCTCTGCTATATCCAGCTCTTGCTCTCTGAGACAATAGGAGCCTCAGAAGACAGTGACGCTACAAGGTGACAGAACACACACACGCTGAATTAACACCTTACATCACAAAAAAATAAAGCAGCAACTAGAATTAGTTCAGAGCAACAAACCAGGTTGTAAACATTTGGTCTTTCCTTTGCCTTTATTAACAATGTGAACACCCCAGTCATAGCTGAAAACATGGGAGAGGCCTGGGGCACCCCCCCAGGCAATAAACTATGGGAAACACACAACTGGGGCACGAAGGCAAACACAATAATTGGCATTTCCTCTATGATTTGAAAGCTTCAGTGAAAATGACAAACTGAAAACACTGTAACCATCGAAAGCAGAAACGAACACAGCAGGAAAAGAGAAGATTGTGTCTTTTTACCTGAGTAAGAAGTATTTCTGTCCTTCCACTGAACATTTTTGCATTTTATTTGATTTTGTCTCTCTTTCCGCAGACGTTCTAGTCTCTGAGCTTGAAAAGAAATATTACAACTATAAGTTTGTCAATGAAAGTTTACTATAAACAAAGACATAATTAACTACCTTTATATGAATAAAGATGTTTTATACTGCATATGTAGGGGAAAAAGTCATAAAATTTTAAAGGTGGCACCCCTGAAAAGCAAATACCAACAAAAACATGAAAATGTTCTTGATTTATAATTGAAATTAGAGGATATAAAACATTAATAGAGATCATAAAGATAGTATTAACATGGAAGAGAATAATAAAATGTGAAAACTTCTGTGATTAATATGACATTTCATTATATAAATCATTAATAACGGTCTTAAAGGAATTTTAATGCACAAATGAACTGAAGTGAATATTACATTACAGGAATAAAATTACTGTTATGAATTACTCTACCCGTTTCAAAAATTAAAGATAAATGAACTCAGACTAGACTATTAAAGTTTTAAATATAAAATCCTTTATCTAAAAATCATGAAAATTATAAAATGTCAAAGCTATATAAATTAGCATAGCTTTTTCTTCAGTGTGCTGAAACAGTTTATAGGTAGTAAAATAAATGATTTGTATCTTCACAACATTAGTCAAATCCTAAAATGAATATAATATTTCTTTACGTATATTTTGACTCCATCTTCAAAATACGGTTTGGAAAAAAGCCTAAAATAGTTATAACATCAAAGAATTTACAGGCCAGGGCACCAGATAACACCTTAAATTATCTCTTTGGTAACAGTAAGGTCTCTCGCAGGAAATGGTCAGCTGAACCCGGTAGAAGCTACCGATGGCAACGAGCACAAGAAATAACTAATGCTAAGAAGTGACCACTCAAAATGGGGAAGCAGATTAGACTGGGAATTAGGGCTAATAATGTTGATCACTGAAGGAAACAATTTGCTGGATGTATTAGCAATTTTTGATACATTGAGATCATTCATTAACCAAAATGTGTTTGTAGAAGAGACTCCAAAATGCTAAATTATTCTGACAATTTTTAGATACAATTTGAGTTCCCTGAGCCATTTCACCAATTAAAATAAGGATAATAAATATTTTCTATCCCCCCATTATTATTCTTTTACATTTAGGCTTTGAGCTGAATCGTACACACAAGTGAATTTTTTTGCCCCCACATAAACTCTCAACCTGGGAACTGATGAACAAAATCCTTTGAGGTTTGAGAGCTGCGGCGAGTAGCTCAAGGCAGCAACACGAACAGGGACACGGGTCCTATTTCCCACTTCTGTCAACACAGGTTGGTGCCTAAACACCTCTCTGTATCTTACTCTCAGTGAAGAGAGGATGTATCCCTGCTTCTAAGCTTAAACACTGGGTGAGACACTACTGGAGCACAGGTATTCTGTTCTGAAAGAAACAGCTTGGGGCTTTTCCAATTCCTGTCCAGACTGTGGCTCAAAATTGCCTTCCAAACCCCTTCTTCCCAAACAGGCCACCATAAAATATCTGTTAGATTAATACATAAACAACGGATAAAGGAAAAAAGGTAGAATAGCAATAAGAATAATGCCTGGTTTTTCCTATTTGATATTGCCACGCCTTGTCAAATCAAATGCACCAAGCGCAGTCACGCCTTCACTCACCCCCTCCCGTTCTACCTACACTTGATCGCAGACCATCACTCACTGTGGGACTGTATTATAGCAACTCCCAATCAGATGGAATTATCCGCACCCGTTAGAAGTCTGGGTTACTTGAGGCTCATTCCCACACTAAGCGTGTTAGCTTGAAAGCTTTTCGCATGAGAAGTGTCTCCGACCAAATGCAGTTCCTGTTTCATGAACTATCAGCAGCTAGATGAGCCTGTGCGTCCAGCCACGTGGATCGGGAGCTTCCTGCTTTCCCATACACCCAACACAGCCCTGTCTCCACCTGAGGTTTTAACACCCCTGGATGCGGCGGAAGGAGGCAGTGAGGAGGTGGAGCCCAGAGCCGAAGCCCCATCTTGCTCCCGCAGAAACGGAGGAAGAACGCGGCGGCACACGACCCGTGTTCTCCCCAGGCACGACGTGCCGTACCCTAACACCTCACTGCACGTCCCTTTCAAGATTGAGGGGATAACTTGGATATTAGAACGAACAGAAAATTCACTTCCAAATCTGCACAGCCACCTGAGAACTACCGAATAACCAACACCTCCGTAGTCTCCGTGGAGATGTGTTGTTTCTGCAGTAACGCATCATTTCTACATTTTATGGAACAGGCACCACCCTGGTAAGGCACTTTTATTAAAACAGCTTTGCAAAAGACAGTAACAGGTTATATTCTGCCCAAAAACAATGGTCAAAGATGGCATAAGCAGAAATCATTTTATTTAGCAGGGTGTAAAACCAAGGACAATAAAGAAGAGTTTGCATGGGAAAAAAGTCAGCCACTGTTACCTGCTGATACACAAAACTACAGTCTTCCCTTTCCAAACCTGCTCAGGTAGTTATGGATTCAGCAAAGAAATGTCCTTATGTTTGCCCATTTTAGGAGCAAAAATTGCAGATTGCACAGTTAAGGAGTTCTTGTACATATGAGATGTACAAGCACTTTGCTCTATGGGGGTGTGTAACTCTTTTCTTCCCCCAAGAACGTGGATAAGTACTTGTGTAACACAAAAAGCATTCATGTTGAGAAGAGTTAACTTTAGTTAATTTATGCCTCTTCCTGTATTTTTCAAAAGGGTTCAGTACTGACCAGCTTGCATTCTTTGTGGGCTTTTTTCCACACTGCTCTGTTTCAAATCGTAGCCTGACGATTGCCTTGGTAACTGTCTTGGGTTCCTGGTGGCACCAGCACACAACGGAACATAAAAGACACGCCAGATGAAAAGCGGCAAGAAACCGGCTCCCCCAGGGACTGAGTCTCCCGCCCGTTGTTTTGGAATATGCCAACCACTTGGAACCTGAAATGGTTTCAACCCATAATTTAAATGGAGATTATCAAGCCTACTCACATGGAGAAATCATCCTTCTCAATTATTTTTTGGAGCAAAAACAACTGTAAACTTTGCCTCTCCTTCCTCATAAACTGTACCGTCAGCTGAGCTGAACAAGACCTCAAGGACAACGCGAGGCAGTCTGGCACACCGAGCTTTTCCCCGTGCCCTAAGTCAGCTACAGATTCATCTTACGTCCAGATCCAGCTCTCCATCACAAGAGGTCAGCGCCCCGTCAATTCTGCAACTTTGAACAACCACTTATTTCTAAAAGGTGTTTCAAGATACTCAACACCCTACAATGGTTTGCCTGCTAGGTGGAGCACAGATGTTTTCTTTGAGCTCTAGGTGGTGTTATAAACCTTCAAAAACCATTTGAAAAAATATATTCTGTAACAGGGAAAAAAAATAAAAAGCGAGATCAGTATTGACCCACCTGCACCAACCTTTTCATATATAGTTTATATCACAGAGTTTTGGTCCATAGCATTCCTCGAGTATAAGTTCAAGTCCGAATATCCCTCACAGGGACCAACAACTGGGACAGCTTTCTTCCAGTCCACTCAAACTGAGCGTATTTTGAAAGGGTGTAAACCCTTCCACTTCCCAATTTGGTAACTGAAATCCTAGCTCAAGGTTTTTCTCAGAAATAAAATTTCAGAAGACAAAGTGTAGACAAATCACTCCGTTGGCTCACATCACACTTCACTCCTCTTTTGTAACAAATCGATTTGACGCCTCACTAGGTAGATTTTTCTCAGAAAATAACTATCCTGTTCAGAAGTTAACACCCCTCCAGACAATGACAATAGAAATATCAAAGACTCTTCATGTACTTTGGAGTTAGACTTGATGTCTTTACAATTTAGATTTTTTTACACATAAAACTGACTAGCTCAGTGCTCCTCCATACATGAATAAGTAAAACAGCAATTAAAACTCAGTTGACAGCACACTAACGCAACTGAATCATTACATGTCCTTTTATAAAAAGGGTCTCAATGTTACAAAGGAACAGGCTGACAGATATCTAGCTAGTCATGCTCTATTTGTCCGTGCAAGCCAGACTGATAAAAAGCGAACGTAAAAGGCGAATGTTATCTTGGCTGCAAACACCACTTACCTGTGTTTGATCGTCTTCTGATTCCGAAGTCCCAGCTTGAGGTAATATCGACTGATTGGGAATACACATAGCCCTGAGTCTCACCGTTGCTTCCCTGTGTTTCTGAGCCACTGTCCCCGTATGCTGACGAGGGATTAAACTTCTCCAGGTCGACATCGTGATCTATCAGGACCATTTCGCACATCCCTGTGTCATCACTGGTCACGTGGGACTGCCGAATATGAGCGAGTATAATTGTTGGGTTGTCCAGGAAAGCCATTCTGTCCACAAGCCCAGCACTTCCCTATACTATCTTCTCTCCATCTTGTTCCATGGACACACGTACCTGGAAATAAAACGTGCACAGCATTTTAGGAAAAAACCCCCCACAAAAACACAACAACAAAACCCTGATTCAAAGAGGTTTATATTTTGGATGCACCAAACCTGAGTCAGTTTTACACAGTGAAATACTTTAATTCTGCTGCAGTTTACTGAAGTGACACTGCTGAGATCCACATGAAGAACAGAGGTCTGTGAGGACAGCTTGAAACCTGAACCCCAAGACAAAGAACAAAACACCTCCAGACACCTCCCATTACTCTACAACAAATGGTTGCTCCAAGGCAGAATATTCCAAGTACTACATGGAGAAGGACAGAGAGAAAACACACAAAACACACACCTGTCTATTTCAAGTAATGAATTTACAAAACAAGGAAGGGTCTTGATGTCTCTTCACCCCCCATAACAGCGTGGTACTGTTATCCTACTTCGCTGTAGCTGTGGATTTACAGTTATGTTAATCTAACACAAGGCTGGGCTGCTCCTGGAAGGGGCAACTCCATGCTCCTGCCTGGCTCCGTTCAGATCCTTCCACCACCTCCCAAAGCCTGGCATTAGCCCTTGTGTAGCTGGGAGGTGAGCTGGCTCAAAAAAATGACCTGCTGAAAATAACCTGAAAAGAAAAACCAGTTCCTAATGTTCCGGCTGCTCAGCCCGATGGTGAACAGCTGCCAGAGCACCAGTTGGAATACCCAGAGATGGGGGAGCTGAGGTTGCCTTCCAGCAGCGGCGCTCAAAGCTGGGGGAAGAGGGAGGCTGCTGGGGTTCTAAATACAACTCGCAGAGGGATGCAAGGCTCGACATCAATTCTGCAGGCTCAGAATGCCCACTGCTTTCCTAACCACTGCGCAGCTGAGAAAAACACATTTTAATACCACCTACAGAACTATACCCAGAGATGGGGGAGCTGAGGTTGCCTTCCAGCAGCGGCGCTCAAAGCTGGGGGAAGAGGGAGGCTGCTGGGGTTCTAAATACAACTCGCAGAGGGATGCAAGGCTCGACATCAATTCTGCAGGCTCAGAATGCCCACTGCTTTCCTAACCACTGCGCAGCTGAGAAAAACACATTTTAATACCACCTACAGAACTAAACGTGCTTATGCAGTTTTGACTGTAGAAACAACCACAACAAACCCTGTCCTTGCTGTTTGCAAAGCTTCTGTCAGCGAGAAGAAAATACCAAAGGAAAAGAAACTGTTTTGAACGACACAAAGCCATGTCCCATGAAAATCCGATAAAGGCAGCTGTCCTCCTCCTGGCGGATTTTAGCAGAAGGGAAGGAGAAGTAGCAGAGAAGCTCCTTCCAGGACCAGCAAATTTCCTCGTTTCCCTTCTATGCTTCCAAGGGAAAGGTGTGTTAACAGGAGCCCCACAAATCAGTTGCTGCATGTAAATGGTTGAAAGTATAAGTAAAGCTTTACCTGGATGCTTGCCGAATCACAACAAGAGCAGAATTTTGAAAGTGTATTGCAAATTGCAAACCCACCCTCCCTATCACCACACATCAGCATCCGCTCATTACAATGCTCACTATTTACATCCTTTGTAATTTTTGGCTTTTTTGCTCCCTTGGCCACAAATATTGCCATTTCTTTTCCTGAGAGACTCTGCCCTTTCTGCTTGAAAAAAAATACAGACAAATGCAGAAGTATTATATTAAACAACAGACCCAGCAGCAAGAAGGAATTCAATAAAAGCATGGTAGAGAAATAAAACTGACATGCTGCTTGTTATTAATACACTACTCCTACCATACATTTTCATAAATTATGCTATTAGCTAAATCTGCTCCATCAGTATCCTTGGAGATAGTCAAGACCCAACGGATAAGGCCCTGAGCAACCCGCTCCAGCCGGCTCTGCATAGAGCTGGGCGCTGGACCAGCTCTCCAGAGGTCCCTGCCAGCCCCAGCAGCTCTGCCTCCACGGTCTATTTTTTATTTCCTGACTATTTCCATTACAGAAAGTAGGCCTGCTCTCCCCAGAGGGTTTCCCAGTGTCCTCAAAGCAAGAGGCTGTAAGGAGAATATCCCGCCCCGGCTGTAACCACGGTATGAGAAGCCTTTAAAGCCGTATTGGTGTGCCCGGTGCTGCAAGACTCGGTGAGCGCACACACCACCACGGGTACAGCGCACAGATATTGAAAAGCGCATTGAGAATGTTCCTTAACCTTTGTTACACGCCGCGTATTAGAAAAGGCCATGCTTACCTGCAAGCAGCAAGAACTTGTTTAAACTAAGCAGGCGCCTTCAGCTCCGAAAAGGTCTGCAAACTCCCAATCAAAAATTACTGCTGCCCCATCAATGTGTCATATAAATGTTGGCATGTTAATTGTGTATTTATAAGATTGTTAATGGTTAGTTAATTTACCTCCCACACTATTATTGTACTTGAAATGATTTAATGTCTGCTAAGGGAGTTAACAACACGTAACAGCAGATGCGAGAATTTTACCTTTCTACTCCACACCCCGACTTCCCGCTACTCCCAGTCCATGTGCCGATTTAGCCACGCTTCTTTGGGGTTTCACACACGCAATCACCTTTCCCGTAAACACAAACAGTGAGAAATGGCCAGAAGTTCTATTTCAGACCCGAAAGTGCAACACAAACACATCGTTTCTTTCTCCTCTGCAGAATTTTCAAAGGACACACTAAAACTCATTTCTCACTAAATGGATGTTACGCAGAAACTCCACGAACAGTTAACGCTCCTCACAAAAACCCTGGGAAAAAGTTCAGGCACCAAAGTTCAGTTCAGATTTTTATGCCATGCTTTAGTAGCTGTTACCTACACAATGCTCCCTGGGTCCTCCCTTTGCTAAAGGGGAAACACGACTCGATGGCACAGCCCTGCTGGGAGGAACAGTGACCTCCAATGATGTGAAGGAATTCGGAGGAGAAGGTTTGCAAACCGAACGTCTCACCACCTCCGTGGCATCAGTTCCAGCAAAACTACAGATCAATTTCTGGATCTACTGAGGGTTGCCAGCATACAGCCTCTTCTGCATGCCTTATGCCCCCACACGATTATCCCATCCACAGGGAGTAGCTGAATTTAATGGAATTCAGGGACTTTGAGCATCAGCAACTTGCTTGTTTATGACTGAAGAATATGCAATAAATGACATAGAGAATCAGCCCTTCACTTTCTTCCTGATTTTGCTACTCACTTGCCTCACTTTCTATTACCTAACCACCACCCGGGTATGAATGCCCTCTCTCACCTTCTCCCTGGCCTCACCCCTGTGTTTCTGATGTGCCCCACAGGCCGTGGAGGGCACAGCCCCTCGCTACCGACAGAACATCCACAAAGCTGCACACTTGCACCGTCAAGAGGCTGACCGCCTTGCCAGGTTTCACAGGAGCTTGGTAGCAAAATCAGACAGCTGGATCTCAGTCTACTGTTTTTATGAGGAGTGTTCTTCTTCCAGTAACCCGCTGCTATATTTATGGCATCCATAGGCTCTCACAGCAAGGGAAACAAGGCTGTTATGCACACCAACCTCATTCATAACACAGCCTACAATCAGTAATGCAGAACCTTCTAACGAATTACGCAGCCCCCAGTAGGTGAGACAAAGGTCTTGAAAAGAAGATACGCAGTCCTACAGGCTATAGCTGAAACACCCAGGTGTTTCACCCATCTGAACCTGGGGAGGCAACTCCATCTGCACAACACATGAAGTGTTCTTGTGACCCTCCCGCTTGCTTGATATGCTGCATTTATGTAAATAAACAGACCATTTTCTCACTTTCCTCACCAAAAACCCCCATACATATCCCAAACCCCAGCCTGATTTACATTCACAAGTTATCTTACATCAAGTGTCACGAGGTATCAAAGTGAGAGTGAGATAAGGGGAAAGGACAGGCTGAACACACAGCTCTTAGGATTGCCATCCTTCCCATCCATCCCATCAACACACTACAACAGCAGACAGCCAGACACAGCTCGCTGCTCCAGTGCTGGACCACATGGGCCTGGGGGCTGAAACCCTGTGTCAGCCTGCTCTTACCACTGTCTTCAGGGGAAAAGATTTGACATTGAGCACGAAGCAGTCGCTGAGCACAGGTCACCTTACTCTGGGGAACCCACGGTTAATTTTGACTGTTTTCTGGTTTGTTTTAAATACACATGGTTGAACGGGACAGAATCTCTCCCTGTTACTGCCCAGCGAAAGGCGGCTCTGCACCATGGCCAGCAGCATTTCAGGCCTGGCAGCAGTGGGGCAGCACACCCCAAGCCTGCCCTCCATGGCCCCCTGCCCCCCGCTCCACTCCCCGGGCTCACGCACAGGCTCCTTCAACATTTTCTGGCAGAATTTGCTTGATAAAATGAAACTAATGACAAGAGGCACGTTTTCCTGCACCCCACCTGTCCCTGTAAGGAGTTCACAGACATCGGGTTAAATGCTTACAGCTCCAGCAAACACAACCCTGTACCGCCGGCTCATCTTCAACCTACGGACAATATTCCTCAAACCACGAGCTCACGCCACCATTCCGTGACATGCTACAGCTGGCTGAAGGGCAAGGAATATTTTCCATGCAAAAATTCTGACATGTATGCCTTTCATGCTTCAAAATACATCAGGTAGTACAGGGGAAAATCTGCTCAGACATCTAAATAAGCTAAAACAAATGATAAAAATCAGAGAAAGCTGTAAGCAACTGAAAATGTTCTGCTACAGGAAAGAGCTATGACTTCAAAATTCTGCTAATTTCAACAGGATCATTTTAGGAATCCTTTGGTTCAAACAGCTAAAAGCAGCTGTTAACTCCACAAAACCCTCGAGCCAATTCCTACAAGGTTATTTTGCTCTTTAAATTATTAAAGAGTGAGAAGCAGGGGGAAAAAAAACCTCTCTTATTCTGCAAAGCTGTAGCTTTTGTTTGTTTGTTTGTTTTGAGAAGAAAATACGTTTACATGGACTG